AGAAACATCCGGTTTTCTATGCAGGGGGAAAAAATGCCTGCAGGAGACCCAGAGAGTGTTCTGCTCTAGGTTTATTAAAACCTCAGAAAGTCCTCAAGTCCTCTGCATCCCAGCTCATAAACCAGACTCCACTGTGGTGGCATCCTGGGTTTTGAACGATGACCACGAGAGGGCGCCGCGACCTGAACTGCACAAGCTGCGCGGTTCACCGCTAGATGGTGCCTCATAATCTCGGCTGTGTAATAGCAGCCAGCTCCAAGCCTCCCTGCCTGCCTCCTTTCCTGACCATGGGGTCTTGGCCCTTCATCCCTGGCCATAGGACCGTTGTCTTGCATCCTTAGCCATAGTGCCTTCGCCCTGCATCGCTCCCCGCGCGCTTCCTTCCAGACTCTGGCTGCATCTCCAAACACAGAATCAAAGTCAAGTCTAGCTGAAAACACACCATCTGCCTGTGAATAAAATCTCTCTGGCGCTGTCACGTCAGCAACCGACGCAGGTTAATAACCAGCCTCCGAGCAGATGGCCGCTTTTTATAATTACCGGGTCCCTGCCTCGGCTTGCTCCCCTTTGCCTCCTCCCCAGCGGGAGCAGGTGGGTGTCACACCCCCACGTGTGCCCTGCCACCTGCTGCCACCAGCTACCAGTGGCGACACAGCCTTGCAGGGAGCCCCTTCTCCCCGGGGAGGCCTGGACCCAGATTAAACAGATAGTCGGTTTGCCGGAGAGGATGCAACAAGACCTGAAAGCCAAACCCTGGGAGGATAAATTAATGAGAAATTTTGATTGAACAACACATACGTTGAAATCCAGTCATTTCGCTCTGGAGGAATCTGTCATAATCCAAAGACTATCAAAATGCAAATTACAGAGATAGTAATATAAGCATATTCACTGCAGCGCTCTGATGTAAGAAGATAAGAACGTGCCTGCCTCCCCCCATGCTATGATATAAAGGGTACCGTATAACCATTGCCAGTGTGTCCAAGCAGTCTGAAATTACCTTAAAAATATGAAATTGGGGAGAAATGGCTCAATAGTGAGAGCCCTCGGTGCTCTTCCAAAGGACCCAGCTTCAGTTTCCGGCACCCATATGGTGGCTCACAGCTGCCCATAATTCAGGTACCAGGAAATCTGATGCCCTCTTCTGGCATATGCCAACATTGGGCACGCCTGTAGCATGCAGTCATACATGTAGGGAAAAAACCCATACACGTACAAATGAATATATACATTTTTGAAAGGAATATGAAGTAGGTGATGCATGCCACTGAGGCAGAAGTAATACACTTTTCTAGATTTTTCTAAGTTTTCAGCAAAAATCATTGACAAATAAAAGGAAATGAGTGGTTTCTAAGAACTGTTTCAAAATACAGAGTTAAAGATGGGCATGGCGGGACATGCCTGTGATCTTAGTATTTAGGTGGCTGAGGCAGGAGGATCATGAGTTTGAGGACAGCCCCAAACTACACGATGAGGCCCTGTCTCAAAAATAACCCCAAAGTAAACCAAATCAAACCAACCAAATCAAGGCAAACCCAGCAGAGCTGTGCACAGCCAAAACTGCTAACAGTGGCTGCCTTTCTGAGTCAGTCCAGGCAGCTTTCTGTCACAGTTTGTGTCCTCTGGCTCTCCAGTAGTTTTGTGCCGGTCAGCTATTAGCTATTCAAAATAAAGTTTAACAAAAAAGATACAGGGCTACGGAACAGGAATGGAGGGATGGAGAACCAGGGATGGAGAAGTCATCACCAGGGACAGAGAAGCCACCACCAAGGAAATCCAGGAAAACACTTTCCACCCCTGAGAGAAAGGACGGTGGAAGGTGGGTGCCCTGCTGGGCCCAATGTCACTGAGTCACAGCAGGACTGGCTGTCCAGGTGTCCTCACGTGAGTGCTGCTCCATCAGACACGAATCCCCGGGCCTCCTGGTTCCCCAAGCCTGGCCCACAGTGGGACCTCATGCAGCAGCATGGAAGGATGGGTCCGACTGCCTAACTGATGGAATTCTATTACAACCCTGACGTTTCTAAATGTGTGAGTGTAAGCGGTTGCAGAACTGGACATACCATTCAAAATGGGGCACACGCACTTGGGAGGCTGAGGCGGGAGGATTGTTGAGTCCCACAGCCTGGACCATGTAGCAAGACAGTGAGACCCTGACTCAAACTAACAAAACAAAGTAAGAAAGGAAAGTATCCCCTAACCTGACGCACTGAACAAAAATCCTAACTGTGGTTTCATTGCCCAGCATTTGCAGACCGATATCTTCACCGCTCCACTAAGAGGACAACTCTAGAGCCCAGCAAAGCTATAGCAACCAGGGGTGTGGTCTTGACTTTAGACTTCTAGTTCAAGAGGCCTACAGGGTCACTTACTGATTAGCAGGAGGAATAGGAAGTGTCGGCTCAACCAGAAGAACCATAGTCTCCAAAGACGGCACCTGCTCCCAGTCCTGCCCTATCCCCTTTCTCTGACTTCATGAGCTCCAGGTGTCAGAGAGCATCTGACCAATGCCAGCTGAGGTACTCTGATGCGAAGGCTCCGCCCCCTCCATCCCCACTCCCATGTCCATGGGGTGAAGTCCACAGAAGGCTTCCTGAACACATGAGCTCTCTGCCACTCAGAGGCTGTGCTCTCCCAGTTGGTCCTCAATCCAGCACCCACCTCTGGCTGTTGAAATCCCAGGCTGCAGCCATGAAAAGAATCTCGGTCCCAGCACTACCCGCACGGGACTTGGCCATAGACAGCTGAAGGAGGCTAAGCATGCCGTACAGCAACACAGTCGAAACTGGCTTGAGACAGACGTCAGGAGCTGGGCTGGACAGCTTTTTACCCATCCTGTAAAAGCAGTAGTCAAACGACCTTCCCCTTTAAGGCTTCAAATCTCAGAAGTGGCTTACACAAAATATACGGAAAATGACATTTTCAGAGGAAAGTAATTTATTAGTAATTTGATGCCATTCGGGGTTTAGTCTTGAAAGCAAAGAGAAGATAGCATCAGGGAAGACCTGGGGATAGGTCTTCCTGGTTGTCCATGGTTGGGCCCCACCACCATCACTTCAGAGACAGCATACATCTCACTAAAAAATAGTTCATGTGGAAAACATTCCCCAAACTTGTTCGTGAAAACTGGGGAGTTCCCACCTGGTGTTTGAGTGAGGGCTCTGGGTTCTAGAGTCACCGGGTCAAAGTCTGGCTTCCATGGCTGGTAACCCCACTTGCTTCAAGAAGCTTGAAATCTGATCCTAGGTTTCCTCTGTCGCTTGTATTTTTCCCGGAGGGGTTCCATAGGAAATGATTTCCAAACAACAACTCCCAAAACTATTTGCTGAAGCCTGGCATAGCAACACATACCTCTGTGATCCCAACACTTGGTGGGTGGTGGAGGCAGGAGGGTCAAGAGTTCAAGGTCATCTTTGGCTTTACAGAGAACTGGGGACCAGCCTGGGCTACATGGGACCCTGCCCCAAAAATAATAAAACAGAAACAATGAGAATTTAAAGACTTCAACAACAACAAAATATTATAGACCTTAGCTTGTAATCTCATGGCTCAAAAGGCTGGGGCAGGAGAATCATAAGTTTGAAACCAAGCAGAACCACACAGAGAAACCCTGTTTTGAAAAAATAACACCTAGAGGTAGGGAGGCGGTTTAGCCATTAATGATCTTGCAGAGGGCTTGGGTTCGGTTCCCAGCTCCCACATGACAGTTTACACTGTCGGTAACTCCAGTTCTAGGAGGTCCAGTGCTCCCTCCTGGCCTCTGTGGGAATCACACACATACATACTGTGCTTACATAAATGCAGACAAAACATAAACAAACACACAAAAACCCAGAAAGACATAAAGCACATAGCTTGAAAGATAAATATTTATTGAGTGTCCACCACATAAAAGCCATGGTGCCAAGCAGGAGCAAGCTGGAGATAGGTAGGGTGACCAAGACACACCAGCTCCTGCACTCCCTGAGTGCACATCTCCAACGGGATGAAGAGAAGTATCAAATGTTTACTCAAATGTACATGATGTCATCGGTTGAGCTCCAGCACTTGGACCAACTGGGGCCAAACCCAAACTAAGCCACTCAAGGGCTGGGAGTAGGCTTAGCCATACAGCACTCGCCTTGGATCTACTAAGGGAGAGCTGGGAGCAGGGCTCAGGGGTGGTATTTACCCAGCTTATGCAGGACCCTGTGCTCCATCCACAGCATCACAAGAAAAACAGACACCAAACAAGCTGCTTGTCAGGTTTGAGCCACTGTCACTTAGGGAAATCAAGGAGAGGATGGCCAAATCCCTGGTGTCATCCAGGGTGATAAGGTGCCTGCCCAGGGGCTAACCTCGGTGCTGGTGTTTCTGTTCGCCCTTGGTCTCCTGTTGAGCTCCTCTCTCCAGCACATCAGAACACTCACTGCGTCTTGATTCTGTGACTGTAAATAAAAGCTAAGTAAGGAGCTAGGTCCCCACCTTCTATCTCCCAGCTCCTCTATGTTGTCCAGGTTGGTCTTGAACTCCAGGGCTCAAGGATGCTCCCACTTTGACCCTTCCCTTATTTGGGACTGTGGGTGTGCATCACAGCACCCAGCTCAGTTAGGATCTTTGAACGTGACTCATTGTTAATTTTGTCTTTCCACACAAGTGAACTGTAAATTGCAGCCAGTGCGGGGAGGAAACTGAGCTGGGATAGAGAACATGGAAGAGCAAACTTAGACACAGTGGCATGAGGAACAGTCTTTGAGGTAAAGCTGGGTACGGAGGCACAAGCCTACAGTCCCAGCTATATAGCAAGCTCACTTGAGCTCAAGAATTCAAGGCCAGTCCAGGCAACATAGTAAGAAAAAGAAAGAGAGTGAAATTAATTTAGACTACAAGTGTAGACAGTAAAGAGGGTCCAGAATTGACAATAAAAGAAAAAGATAAATAAGATCTGGACAGGGGTGGCACACACCTTTAATCCCAGCACTCGGGAGACAGAGACAGGCAGATCTCTGTGAGTTCAAGGCCAGCCTGGTCTACAAGAGTTAGTTCCAGGACAGGCTCCAAAGCTACAGAGAAACCCTGTCTCAAAAAATCAAAATAAAATAAAAGATAAATAACTGCCATGATTTTCCATAATAAGGCAAAAGACTTTAGAAGTTTAACCAAAGTTACTCAAGAGAGCCTGGTGCATAGAGTGTGGGGACTGCCTGGCATTTGTGGCTTCACTCAAAGTAGGGACCACTGTCATCGTGAGACCACTGGGAAGTCCCTGGGCAAAGAAGGGGACCACTCAGCAGGTAAGCACAAGCCTGGCAAGAGCTGGCTCTGAACCCCCCCAAGACCCTCCGATCCTGTCACAGGTACCTAGAGGTGCTTTCACAGGAAGAGGAGCACCCGGCACAGTTGGCCAGCCAACCTGAGAACTTCTTTTAGACCCACAGGATCAGGAGGACTCCTAAGCTGTCTGTGGATGCCAACAGCCCAGACCTTTCCATAGCACACAGAGCCCACAATGCACGGCTGAAGCCTCTCCAGCGAAGGACAGCCCAACAGGATGTACTCCCAGCAGGGGACAGTCCAACAGGATGTACTCCAGCTTACAGTCAATGCTGATGGCGTGCAGGTTTCTCAAGGTACCTGCCAGGCACCCCCCATTCCCAGGTCACCTTCTGGGAGTCATAGAATCATCCAAATGCAAGCCCATCCCCCACGGGGAGTGACCTAATCATCATAGCGGATCTCGGCCTGCAGCTCCTTGGTGACATAGGTGGCTAGCATGGCCAAGAGCTTCTGCTGCATGGCCTGGTTGCTCATGACCAGAGCAGTGAGCTGGATAGCATCTGTCCAGTCCAAGTTCCTGATGATGGCCGTGGCTTCGTTAACAAGTTTCTGCTGTTCGGCAGGGGGCAGCTCCATTAAGATCTGAGGAACCGGCTTATACTGTCCACTCGTCATCCAGGCCCCCAACAGGCCCCCAACAGTCCCCCCTGGAAAACAACAAAGGGCTCAATTAGTTTGTCTCATCCTCCAACAATGGCCTTGATTTCTTGCCGAGAATGTAGCCACTGTCATGACAAGTGGGCACATTCATGAGCAGGGTCACAGCAAGCTCAGCTTCTGCCAGGTAGTCAGCAGGGCAAAGGTTTATGCGGTCTCCCGGTCCCTGTGGCCCCGGTAATTGGCATCGAAGGAAGGCCCTCCCAATGTCCCCCACTTGCACCCTCCCCGCCTCTGACCTGTGCCAACTAAGTCAGATCCCCTTCCTGGATGAACTTTCCCACTCCTGTGACTTTCAGAACAATCTGTGTCCATAAAGGAGGGGCTGAGAAGGAACTGCACCTTCTGGGAAACCGCTTGCCTGGAGAGGCTGGGAGGTTGCGTGGTTTCCACAGTGTGGCTGTGATAAAAACACCAGGACAATACGCAACTGGGAAGGAAAGGGTTCATTTCATCTTACAACTTCAGATCACACTCCATCACTGAGGGAAGTCAGGGCAGGAATTAACCTAAGGCAGGAACCTGAAGAGAAGCTGTTCTTTCGAGGTCTATGAAGAATTTTGCTGGGATTTTGATGGGCCTTGCATTGAATCTGTAGATTGCTTTTGGTAAGATTGTCATTTTTACTATATTAATTCTACCTACCCAAGAGCATGGGAGATCTTTCCACTTTCTCGTGTCTTCTTCAAAGACTTAAAATTCTTGTCATACAAGTCTTTCACTTGTTTGGTTAGAGTTACTTAGATATTTTATGCTATTTATGGCTATTGTGGAGGGTGATGTTTCTCTAATTTCTTTCTCAGCCAATTTATCATCTGTGTACAGGAGGGGTACTTATTTTTTGAGTTAATATTGTATCCTGCTAATTACTGAAAGTGTTTATGAGTTGTAGAAGTTTCTTGGTAGAATTTTTGGGGTCGCTTATGTAAACTATCATATCATCAGCAAAGAGTAAGTGTTTGACTTCTTTTCTGATTTTTATCCCCTTGATCTCCTTTTGGTGTCTTACTGCCCTAGCTAGAACCTCAAGAACTATATTGAGTAGATATGGAGAGAGTGGACAACCTTATCTTGTTCCTGATTTCAGTGGGATCGCTCACACGGGAATTTTCTGTACAATCTTTGCAACTTCTACACGTTTATAATATTATTCCAAAACGAGACGTTTGTTTAATACTGGGGACACCATGATTGCAATTCCAGCACTCTGAAGGCTGAGGCATGAGGATCTCATGTTTGAGGTCAAATCTGGAATACATTGATCATTTCAAACCAGCCTGATGTACATAGAGAGATCATAGCTAAAAAAAAAAAATTTAAAAAAAAAGTGCTTGGGACTGGAGAGTTGGCTCAGTGGTTAAGAGCAGAGCACTGGCTGCTGTTGCTGAGGACTGATGTTTGATTTCCAACATCCACAGGGTGGCTCACAACCATCCTTAACTCCAGTTTCAAAGATGCTGATGCCCTCTTCTGGTCTCTATGGGTATTGCATGCATACAGTTCATGGCCATAACAGGCCAGCAAAACATCCATACACATAAAATGAAACTATATAAAACACTTTGTAAATATCTAATTAAGTAAACAAACAGCACAGCTTGGTGAGAACCCACTTGTAGGCTGGGCTCAGAAGACAGAGAGTGACAGCCACATTTTCTGAATCCAAGCAGCGTGGTCCTGGAGGCAGACAGCTCCTCTGGTGCCCAATACTGGGGCAGCCAGTCTCTAAGGGAAAGAGGCATTCCAGGAAAGGAAAACCAGTTCATTCACAAGTTTGTCTGAACTCTTCCTCCTGACACCCGTGAGCATCTAGAACTGACAGTACCACATGCATCAGCATTAACTCTTCACAGAACATCAATATCTGATTTACAGCAGCACTTAATGCGGACAGTTATCAGGACATCCATGCACACAGTACTAGCAGGCCTCTGGAGAAAGGACAATTCCTGTGTTTTTCAGGGGGAATGAAGCACCCACCCATGACCAGGGACCAGAAGCAGCGAGTCCCTAGAGACACTACTCTCTGCCAGCTTTACTCAACAGGAATAAAATATGGGCTCCCACAACAGAGACAGCCCACAGCTCTACAATAAAACAGCCCCAATCAGGCTTCCCCGGCACTGAGACAGGAGTGGGAATGTGAGGGTGTCACTGGGGAAACAAGAAACGTGGGAAGAAGCAGAAGTTGGGACTCCTGAATTCACAGAATTTAAAATCACAAAAGATAAAGGTCTGAGCCATCTGTTTCTATGAAACATAGCTTTCATACAATGCAATGTCCTGTACGGGGGGATGGGGGCGACAGACAGACAGATGGACACACTTGTCAGCAAGCTGGGAAACAGAAACTAGAAACCAGCCCCAGCGCTAAAGAGCTTCCGTCTGCATAGCCTGTCACGATGTAAGGACTGAAAATCACCTAGCAATAGCTTCTAGAAGACTGGGGTCAAGGAAGGACTGTGTCTGACCCCACCACGGTACATACAACAGCAGCCAGTAAAGAACCACCCAGCTGCACACGGCAGGCGTCCAGCCTGCGGTGGGGATGCCAGCTAAACTGTATTGAACGGTCCGTGGTGGCCATCTCAGGGGGAAGCAAGCAGAGCGAGCAGCGTTCCATGGCTTTTGCTTCGGTTTCCGCCTCGAGTTTTCACCCTGACTTTTCTTCATAATGGACTGGAAGCTGTAATAAGCCTGCCCCTCTCCAAGTCGCTTTCAGTCATGGTGTTTTTCTCACAGCAACAGAAAGCAAACTAAGACACAGCCAGGCTATGAGCAACTGATCATGGAAAGAACGTGGCAGATGTAGTTTCTTTGGTTCCCTTCTACTGTAACAGAGTAGCAATGATGTACGCAGGGGACATCCGGAGGTCCCAGGCACTCCAGTACCTTTAGACTCAAGGACACATCTCTAGGGAAAGGGCAGAGCCAGTGGGTTCCTGGAGGTGCCTCCCAGGCCTGACAGATGCAAACACCAAGGCCAAGAGAATCCTGTATCACGTGGAAGCTGTGAGGACACACTACATACAGAAGCCCCTGGGCCTTATAGAATCCCTGCACAGTGTATGTGGTAGGTACCATTCTTACTGATCAGATCGTTCTTCCATTTAGTTCCAAAACCCTCAAACATGCCAGAAGTCTGGAATGTACTATGTAGCCCAGGCTATCCTTGAACTCTCCATGTTCCTGCCTTCCCAGGGACAGGCCTGAATCAAGGCTGGTTGTACCTGTGAAGACACACTCACCAAGAGCAATTCCTGGCGGGCCACCAACCAAACCACCGACGAAGGCCACTGTCCCCGCAACCAAGGCACCCCTCCCAGAGTGCTTGACGGCCGCCTTCATTTTTCTCTCGCGGGAAATGGAACACAGAAGCTTCATGACGTCATCTACCTCGATGGGCATCTCGGCAGACCTTAAAGGAAGATTCAAAGAGATAGGTGGTTTCAATGTTTGCCCAAATGTGTACTTAAAAAGAAAGTGTAGCTGGGCAGTGGTGGCGCACGCTTTTAATCCCAGCACTCAGGAGGCAGAAGCAGGTGGATCTCTGTGAGTTCGAGGCCAGCCTGGTCTACAAGAGCTAGTTCCAGGACAGGCTCCAAAACTACAGAGAAACCCTGTCTTGAAAATCGAAAGAAAGAAAGAAAGAAAGAAAGAAAGAAAGAAAGAAAGAAAGAAAGAAAGA